TGCGAGGATCACTGTTTTTTTGCCTCTTCTCCGGGGAACGCTGGGCGAGCCCCCTTGGGCCGTCTGGGGGCATCTCGTGATAGAAGGCTCGAATTGCTTTTTCGGGCTACCCCTGATTAACTGTTAGGATGCCGCTCCACTCGCGAAGCGCAGCGAGCCTTACAATTTTGTGTATATATATATATATATAAAAATGTGTATATACATATGTATGTATGACTATGTGTATATAGCTCTATGTATGTGTATATATATATATATATATATATATATATATATATGTATGTATGTATGTATGCATGTATGTATGTATGTATGTATGTATGTATGTATGCATGCATGCATGCATGCATGCATGCATGTATGTATGTATGTATGTGTGTGTGTGGAATCGGTTGTCTGTTCGCAGGGGTATGCACGCATGTATGTACGTTGGTAGATGAGCATGTATGTACAGCCAACCCCAACAATAAGGATGCACGATCAGGATGCACGGGCCTTGGGAGGCCATGTCGAAACTTTGCGAGCGGGGCGCGGCCAGCGAAAACGGCTCAGGATGGGCCTCAATGGAAGAATACAAGGGTACCCTTGGAAAACTGCTCATTCTTACCATGCGGGTTGACTGTAATTACGTCTGGGAAGCCGGGCTGTGGGTCCCGGGTGACGTCGGCCCATCTCGAAAGTAAAACGGTGGAGAGAGGAACGCCAGGGTAGATGGATGAGGGAGAAGCGAGGATGCAAGCGGAAAGAAGAATGTGAGAAGACCTTGCCTGAGGGGGGTGGAGAGAGAAGCAACGGAGGAAGGGAAAGGAATGTGACGGGATCGCGTAGCAGCTCTATCCGCACTGCCCCGCGGCGCACAGTATATATGAGAAGATGGCAGCGCGGGGCCTCTTGGGCGCCTCTCCGGGCCTCTTGGAGGCCTCTGCGGGGCCTCTTGGGCCTCCGAGCCTCTCGGTGGCTTCTCGGGAGCTTGTTGGGGCCTCTTGGCGGCGTCCTGGAGGCCTCCGGGAGGGTCTTGAGGGCAGGTTGGGAGCTGCGCGCGCCAAGATCGGTGCCCCACGACGTTCAGTGGACCGCCTTGGAATCCTCCTTCAGCCGTCTGAGAGTCCTCTGGAACAGTTTTGGGACACCCTCAGGCGCCTCCTGGTCCAGTCTTGGATGCTGTGGATGCCGAAAACACCAATTTGATGGAAATCCACGTTTTCCGGAGGGAATGGGACTTTGGCCTCCTGGGGCCCTCTTGGGGAGCCTCTTGGCGCTTTTTGAATCCTTCTTGGGGCGTCTCGGAGCGGTCTTGCCGCTCTCGCGTCCTGGGCGCTTCTTGGGCGGTCTGGAGGCCATGCTGGGCGCTCTTGGACTGCTTTCGGGCGGTCTCGGAACCTCGGGGTCCTCCAGGAGACCTGCCCGGGCGGGGGGGTCAGAATATACAAGGGAGGTCCTGGCCCCAGGGCTTTGGACCGGGATGACTCCACCTCCCCCACACAAACACACGCACACACCACACACATACACACATACCCTCACACAGACGCACACGCACACACCCACACGCACCCACACACATAGATACACATTATATTTATTTACATATATATATATATACATATATATATATATATGTATATATATAAATATCCATATATATGCACATACACATTTACATACACATTCACATAGACATATACATTTACATACACACATACACATACATATACATATGTATGTATATATATATAGATCCACAACATCGCGGGCCGGGCCCCTGGGCCGCGACTCCGGGCCGATTTTGTTCCGTGGATGCCCCGAACGGAACGTATCCGTGCCACCGCGTATCCGCGTGATCGCGTCCCGGAACCCAGACTGCGAGGGCGTGAGAAGGAGAAGGAGGAGGACCCGCTCGCTCGCGGACCCGCTCGCTCGCGCATTCCTCCTCCTCCTCCTCCTCCTCCTCCTCCTCCTCCTCCTCCTCTCCTCCTCCTCCTCCTCCTCCTCCTCTCCTCCTCCCTCCTCCTCCTCCTCCTCCTCCTCCCCCTCCTCCTCCTCCTCCTCCTCCTCCTCCTCCTCCTCCTCCTTCTCCTCCTCTTGCTCGCGCTCGCGATGGACGACGCTACTTTTTCTTCGCCCGCCAGTCAGCACATTTTGCACCCGGCTGGTGTTGCGGGGAGCCACCCTATGGCGTCGGCGGGGCCCGCTGCGGCTTCGCCGGGCGGCCCGCCCTCCTCGCCGTACATCTTCGTGAACACCTCGTGCTGATGCAACTCCGCTCGCCCGACGCTGGGCCGCACCCGGCGCAGGGCGGCCTCGAAGTCGCTCATGAGCACCTCGCGGGATTTTTGAGCAATCGGCGGCCAGACTTCGGGGAGGACAGGACAAGGACAAAATCGGACCAGCATGAATCGGGGATCTCTGAGATCTGGTGGTTCTCGAATATGCAGCCGGCTTGGGCACTCGGGAAACGTGTTTTCTGTCCGAACCCCGTCCGACGATCGGCGGCCAAACGTCGATGTGCCGAAAAGCGAAGCTCGACCGGACCGGCCGAGGGGCCGTCACGTGGCACCCCCGTGAGGGGGGAGGATTCGGGAAAAAGGCAGCTCCAGGGGAACGACAAGGGGGGAGAAGGAAGAGGAAAAGAAGGAGGAGGAGAAGGAGGAGGAGGAGGAGGAGGACGAGGAGGAGGAGGATAAGCGAGGATAAGCGCAGCTAGGTGAGGATGGAACGCCACGGGGATCCAACCTACCCGAGGGGAGACCGCATCCCTCACCCCAGGCCTGACCTAGGCGGTATTGGGGGGGCCAAATCAAAGTGACCTTCTCGTGCTGGGGTGTGTACCTTGCCACAAACAGTTCAAGCGCCCTGAGATATTCCGAAGGTTTCCCCCAGGACACATGGGCAAATGTCCGATCCAGCGGCCAGTGGCGCACCTGGCACTAATCCGACATAATACTACTCGAGGGAGGCACACCACCTGGTGGCCTCTGGCGCGGGTCCGTTCGATCCTGCCTCCGTCCCCGTCCAGCACCTCAAGGGGTAGGGGGGGGGACCAGGCCTCGGAGGTAGAGGTCCCGCAGACTCCTCCACTTCCCCGTTAAGCACCGGGTCGGGGGGCCTGGGATGGCTCGGAGCCTGTGTGGGAGGTTCCGAACCTTCGGAGGCGTCAACGAGCCCTTGCCCAAGTACTGCTCCGTAGGCTGCAAACTCTGAGACGTCCGAGACGGCTGTAAAAGCGCTTGATATATGCTGCTCTGTGCCAAGGTGCATGCTGCTGCTGTTTGGCTCGAAGCTTAGCATATTCGTCGGCGCGCTTATTGCCTGGAATAAGAGAGCGGGGCCCATGTGGTCCCTATGCTGACGAGTGGCGTGCGCTTTCACTTTCTGGAAACTGATGGTTCTAGGCCCTATTCCACCGTTTCCTCCTATCAGGTCCCAACATTCTCGCCAGATATTCTCATGCATGGTGGCCGCGCTCCCAGCCCACGCTAGGCCGCGTGCGATGCCGTCGAGGATAGCCTGGCAGTCCGGTCAGATACTGACGGGCGGGCAGGCCACCTGGAGGACGCGCAGGACCGCCGTGAGCTCGCTCTTGTAGATGATATGGTCCCCTTGCGCCCCTGAGAGCGGTCCGTTGACCGCGCATTTCAACTCGCTGGTGTTGGCCAGCTGCTCGAATGCCCGCCCTCCCCTCCTCAGAATGGCGCACTCGCCGTAGAAGAAGCTGCCGTCTGTGTGCACGTCTCCCATGGCCAAGCCGTCGTGGCCGCCGTGCTCGAGGACGTCGCTGGACGATGGTAGCGCCTCCAGCTCCAGCTCAACCGCTGGTTCGCTCGCCAAGCCTCTGCACCAGAGCTGCTCAGCTCCTGGCCATGGGCGAGCCCCGCAGCGCAAGATGCGCCGCCCACCTACCACGCGGCGGTGCTCAGCTTGGGCGGGGCACTCGAAAGTACGGCGGCGGCGGTCCGCGCCGATGTCCGCGTTGCACGCCTTGCAGATGGGGCCAGCCACGGCGCCTTTCTGGTGAAGCCACTCCTGTGGCCATGTGCCCCCGCGCCGCAGTGCGCGAGCGCGGGCCTGGTGCCCCGTCGCCCGCCTGCCCACGATCGGTAGCCCGAGCAGCGCCCGCGCGGGCTCCGCGAGCAGCGGCTCCAGTTTGGTTCTCCCCCACTTGGCAAGCCACGCGTCCTTGAGGCCCTGCCCAGTGGCCTTCCTCGCGCGGCGGCGCAGCTCGCGCAGCGTCGTGACGCGCAGGTCCGGCACCTCCACGCAGACGGCGATGCCGTGCGCTGCCTTTGTCTGCCAGCCCAGCCCCCGCGCGGCGGCGACGAGGGCGCCCGCGGGCCCACGGGCGACCTGCCAGGGCAACTTGGCGCACGCCACTCAGAGCAACTGACTGCCCACCTCTTCTACGCGGCCTGCAGGTGGCCGATGAGGTGCGGCTGGCGATCTGCCTCGCGCCGCGTCTGCGCCCGGGCAAGGATGGGAGCGTCGTTGGCCCTCGATATGGGGCCCGCCTCCTCTGCCAGGAACACCGGGTGCGAGGGGCGCCCCTTGGCGTTCCCGCTGTAGGAGGCCGCGGTGAATGCTCTGGCGCAGCTCGCTAATTCTTCGCGTCCGACATGGCCATGGCCTGCGCCCCGTGCATGAGCGAGGGTCGCTTGGCCTGCCGCGGTATCAAATCTGCTGGTCAACCTGCCCGCCCGGGCGACGAATGTCACTGCTCTCTTGGAGGTGGCCGTGAAACGCCGCATCCGCCCAGCTGCCGCGGCGACGCCTGGGCGGTTCTCGGATGCGGCCATGCGCATGCTCAGCGGCCTGATGCGCTTGGCGAGGGTGTTGGAGGGCTGGGGCCGCGGCCATGGTGGCGGTCTTACCATGCTCTCCCTTGGATACTCCCATGTCCAAGGTCGTCTCGAACATGCGCAAGAATGGCTGAGCCAGGACGGCGGTCCGTGGGTAGCCACCGCGGGTCGTCACGTCTCCGCCCGCGGGCATGCCTGCGCGACCCCGTCCAGCTCGACGAGGATCACGGTCTGCAGGCAGAAGGGCGCGAAGCGGTTGCCAGCGACGATGCATCGCGCCCATCGGCCCCCTTGCGCGCAGCAGTCCTCCAGGGCGATCACCCGCACCGCGGGATAGATCCTCAGGACCATTATCAGGGTGATGCGGTTGAAGCCCCAGCGTGGCCCAGCCCCCCACGCCTTGGCCTTCACGTGGGTCACGTACTCGAAGCACTCGGCCAGGTCGAAGTACGCGACGGCGTAGTCGAGGTCCTGAGCGGCCGCGGGCTAGAAGGACAATGCCTGCGTCCACGCTGCTCTCTCACTGGACTTGCCCTTGGCTGCCCAGTCGTAGTCTCTCCTGTTCGCGGCCTCGCATCTTCTCGCGCTCGGCATGCGCGTGGTCTCCCACAGCCTGGCTAGCTCTGGGATCAGCCCGAGGTTGCGGCCGGCGCCGCTCGGCTTGGCAACAGGATGGTGGCCTGCGCCGTGGGCCGCGGTGCACCTGCATCCGCGGCGCTCAGCGCGATCGCCACGCGCGCTGGTCCAGCGAAACAATCTAGCTGCTACAGCCGCGGGTGCCAGTCTGCCTCGCCTGGGGCGAAAGCGGCCGCGGCACTCCCGACCGGCTTCAAACTGGTCGGTACTCCTCCGTCTCCACGTCGGCGGGGGCCTGCAGCCAGGGGTCCTGCTTGCTCAGCTCGTCGCCCCATATGCTCTCCCAGCCCTTCGGCGCCTTGTCAGAAGCAGCCCGCGGGTTCGCGAGCCCGTGGTCTTCCAGGGTTTGCGCGCCCCCCGCGGCCGCCTGCGGCCTCCACGGGTTGGTGGTCTAGGCCCAGCGGTGGATGTCCCCGGCCCCTTTCTGTCTGTGTTTGCGTTCCCATCGCTCCCAGCTGGCGGCCGATGCTCTGTGCGCTGCCAAACAACTGCGGTGGCTGGCAATGCGGAGTTGCTAGATCACACAGGCGATGAAATTAAGCTTGCTCTCCGTAATCTCGCTTGTCGGGGTGCCGCGCAGCGTGCGCAACATGTCTGGCCAGCATATTGCATTCTAGCTCACGGCTGGGGGCCCGCAGGAGGGCGGCGCTTCGACCGCGGGGCGGTCCTCTACTTCTTTCGCCACTGCCCGCGGGAAGTCAAGGTTTGCTTCGCCCTCTGACGCCCCAAGCAGCGCCCCGCCGCCCTCATTATCGTCGGCCACGGTCCCCAAGTCGGGGGCGCGCTTGGCGAATTGGGGCAGCGCGACGGCGCGCTTGAAGAGGCCGCTGGCGCGACTGTAGATCATGCCCTCTAGGTCGGCGTCGCCGCGGCCCTAGGCGAGCAGCGCTGAAACGCTGGCGCGCAAGTCCTTTAAACTGCGGGCCAGCCACTCGGCTCCTTCAGCCCACGCCTGCATGGCGATAGCCTATGTGGCGGGGGGAGGGACCTCGGTGCGCCGCCATCGGTAGGTGGGCAGCTCGAAGTGACCGATGTGCCTGGCCAGCTCGTTCCCCTCGCAGTTGAAGTAGCGGTTGAGGTGGCGCTGGCATGCCCGCCCTATGGATCTCCAGCGCTCGCCCATCTCTTCCTGGCCGCGCCGGCCCCGCGTCGACATCGGCCGCGGCCAAGTCGCGGGCGCCGCCGCGCATCAAATTTGCAGCACGATTAACCAAAACGCGGTCTTGATCGGCTTGTAAATCACCCTGCCCCGGCCGGTCTGCTTCGGGATCTCCAGCTCGACGGGTTGGCGCGGCGCCACGGCAATCGCCCTCCAGCGCCATGGCCTCGACCGGCCCTGTCACCGAGCCCTTGGAGACGATGAGGTTGCCCCTCGCGCGCCGCACCCCCCATCCCGCATCGCCCGATCCAGTCTGCTGGTCGTGCGCGATGATCCCCTTCATCCTGCCCGACAGCCCCGAGTCGCGGAGCGCGATCGGGCCCGCGTTGAAGCCCCCGCCCAAGATCCGCGCGCGGCGCGCAGCCTCCACGGCTGCCGCGGCGAGGCCCTGGCCGCGCCCATGTTCCTGCATGTTCCGGGTGGCGAGGCCCTCGCCGTGCAAGAGCTAGACGCTGCCGCAGAGCATGCCCTTCGGGAGCACCGCGCCCACCAATGCCGTGGCCAAGCGGACTGTCGAGCCCTTTGGGGAGATGTCCCAAGAACTGATGCCACGCCTCTCATAGTCGAACCATGACAACATGGCGCCGCAATCAGCACCCCCACACGCCACCCCCCTCCCCTCTCGTTGCTGCCCACCAACCCGGTACGCCAGCCTCGCTTGTGCATGGGGCTGCTGAAGATGTCGAAGTTGGGGGCGTCAGCTTGAAATTCTTGCGATGGCGCGACTGCAGGGGGGTCGTTGGCCTTGATGACGGTCATGATGCGCTCCAGGGTTGTCACCGCGCTGGCGCTCACCGTGTAGAAGCGCTGCAACTTACCTGGCCGCAGTCTGTTACCCGAGCCGCAGTATCCACCGCTGCTTGCCGGCGCTGATGACACGGGCACTCGCGAGCCCGCCCACCAGCAGCTCGGGGTAATTCGCATATGGATCAGCCTGTTTAGGAGTGCCCCCCCGCAGAGGAGGACATTCTTGATGTCGGCCTCCCTGCTGCCCGCTGCGAACTCCAGGAAGTCCTTCGTGGCGATGGCGCTGTGCTCTGACTCCCTGCGCTCGGCGCGGCCGTTGGAGAAGTGGCCGTTGGCGTTGTCGCCGACGTCTGCCTGCATGGCCTTGGCCTTCGCCTCGGCCTTCGCCTTCTCGAAAGCTGCCTGCCGCTCCGCCTCTTGGCATTCCCCAGCGCGTCCTCCAGCTTCTGGTCCTCGGCCTCGCCGTCTCCCAGGCACCTGACCGTTTGCTGCAGGAACTCCACTGCCGACAGGCGCTGGCACTGACAGCTCGTCAATCGTGGTATTGGGCGAAACTCTGCGATTGCCGTTCGTGCGCTGCCTTCTCGTCTGCTAGCGTCTCCACTGCTTGGACAGCTCCGCCTCGATGTCGGCGATGCGACCAGCACGGCTGTCTCGCTGCTCCGCCACGCGGTTGCGGCCTCTGACCACTCTGCACTCCGTGAAGCAGCGCGGGACCTTGATCTCAAGGTTTGCCTAGGCTGAGGCGACCCGTTCCTCAAGGGCGGCCACCTGCGCGTTGAGTGTTCCAGCCACAAGCGGGTCCTCCGCGATCCTCCGTAGCCCACCCAGCCTTGCACGGAGTTGCGTGAGGTTGGCTTGCTTGTCTGCGTTGAACTGGCCTGGCTCGAGTTTGCTCTTCGCGCCGCCACTGGCCGTGGAGGACTCGGGGGGGTGGAGGTGCCACCGCTTTGTTTCCAACATTTCCACCAAAAGTTGTACTTAGTTTCATTCTGTGTCTGACACGACGAGCACTTCCAATTGCCCGCTGCTGCTGCTGAGTGAGAGCGGGCTGGCATCTGGCTCTGACCACCGTGGCGACTCTGAACTCTGGTGTCCGAAACGCCGGAAACTGCCCCTCCAGGCAGAAGCGCTCGGGCGCAAAATGACTAGGAGGAGGAGGAGGAGGAGGAGGAGGAGGAGGAGGAGGAGGAGGAAGAGGAGGAGGAGGAGGAGGAGGAGGAGGAGGAGGAGGAGGAAGGGGAAGAGGAAAAGTTGGAGGAGGAAACCGCTTCTTCTCGCGGGGGGGCATTTCCCGCCCATCCTTGTCCGAAGGGGCGGGGGGCAAGTGGGGGCCCAAACGAGGCCGGATGGCCATGCGCGGTGACCGCCAGCCTTTCGCGCGGGCTACCACGACTGCAACGCCATCGAAACCAATATAAACTACGAGTACACCGAATTCGGCCAGGAACTCTACGCCTCTTTAACTGCGTCCTACCCCATGGTGCGAGTGCATACCAAGCCGCCACCCGGAAGGTCGCATAAGCGATCCCGTAGCGCATCGAGACCAGCACCAACATAGTTGCCCACAACCACAAGAGCCAGACGGACATCGACCAGCTGGGGCCCGCAGTGCTTCGACTGAACCAGCAGCACAGCGACTGAAACCAGCAGCGCCCCAACGAGAACCAGAGAAACTCCTGCGACCACTGGCAGCGGAATCAATGAGCAGGCCTCATGTGCCCTCGCAGCTCAGTCCACAGTGGGCACCTCAAGAGAGGGGACCCAGGGCGCACCCCAGGGAGCTGGCCCTGTCGGGCGTTGGTGATGATGGTGATGATGATGATGATGAGGAGGAGGAGGAGGAGGAGGAGGAGGAGCAGGAGGAGGAGGAGGAGGAGGAGGACCCGCCGCAAGCCGAGAGAGTGCCGCGGCCCGCGGGCCCAACCAAGCATCGCCAGCCCGTGGGCCAGAGACAGCCAGCCGCCGCAAGGAGGCGCCAGCCTTCCTGCCAACCTTCGCTGCCACTACTTGGCGGCGCGCAGAAGGGGGTAGGGGGAGGGGGGAAGGCTTCTTAGAAGCAGGCTGCTTCTTAGAAGGCGCCAGCCTTACATCTACAAAGAAGGCCGCGCCTTCTAAGAAGCAGGGGTGCTTCTAAGAAGCCTTCCCCCCTCCCCCTACCCCCTTCTGCGCGTGGACAGACTACGGAGGTCACGGCGATCATCGACGCCAAGATAGCTGCCCTCAAGTGGGAGATGCGGCCAAGGCGCCAGGCCCACTGGCAGGGCTGGAGCTAAACAAAATTCTTCGTTTCCGTTTTGGTTTCGGTTTCCCTCGTTCTGCCTTCCTTCTGCCCTTGCTGCGAAACGTAAGCAAAACGAAAACGGCCCACGAAATCGCCAAAACACCGGGTACACGTCGCCACCAACCCTAGTTCCAAACGAGGTGGTGACAACACCCGGCGGTGAGTCTCGGGCGATTCGGTGTCACCATCCAGTTTGGGGACTGGTGTGGCTTTTCGAGGATGTCCCGAATGCTGGTGGGTCCAGGAGTCACAAAACCCGGCGGTGACCCCGTGCTCCAAAAACCTGGCGGTGACTTTTGGGGGATTCCAGGTCACCACCTGGCGGATTTCGGAAAACCTGAACCCAAAACCGTTTCCATCTCTTGGGGGCGCATGTTTCGCTTCCGCCGCCTTCCGCCGAGCTTCCGCCGGCTTCCGCCGGCGGAGGCGGCCCCGTTTTACTTCCGCCAAGCCTCCGCCGCCCTTCCGCCGCCTTCCGCGGCGGAAGAGGTGACAACAACTTCTATCCTCGAAGGCAAGGCCCTTTTTGGAACGCCTTACCCTTTGTGGGCCCCGGAAACGGCAGGGCCGTTTTTTCACCGTTTCCAAAAAAAATGTCCCGTGAAAATGGGAACGGCAAAACAACGGCGACCGGAAATGGCAAAA